AGTTGCTGCTTCTGGAATAACTGTCTGAACAACAGCTCGCTTACTCTCAGGAGATTCTGCCTTTTTGGGGGGAGTTACTTAAGAATTAAGAGAGTTCAGATGCAGGGTAAAAACCAGCAGCTGGGCTCTCCAATCTCTCCAATGTTTTAGTTTTTGAGGCTGATACCACTGCTCGCAAAGTGGTAAAGAGATGAGAAAGAACAGACAAGAAAGAAAGAAGTGTGCCAAAGATAGAGCACAGAGGCTGCAAATGGGTGAGGTGGAGGAAGTCAGATGGAAAATGAAGATGGGATAGAAAAATAATAAAGAGGAGATTGAAGTGGAGAGATTGACTGTCAGTTTTCTAGGTGAGGGGAAAAGAACTGCAACAGGACAATGGAAGAAACAAATCATTTATCAAAATTGTCATTGCTTTAGTTTGGTTGTTTTCTACAGGTCTAAAGGCACCCTCTCTCTCTCTCTGTGTGTTTGTGTGTGTGTTTTGGTGTGTAACAACAGACACCGAAACCACCCGCTTCGTTCGTTTCCACACCGCCGTTATCTCTGAAAATATGTCTGGAGGAATTTTCTTCTCATTTTGACAAGCAGATGATTTATGCAGCAGGGAGAGCTGCAGGGCTTCAGAGCACTGATTGCTGAGCTAGTGAAACAAACTCGGTGGCATTTAACAAACACACACACAAACATTCAGAGAGTCCTATAACACATAAAGCAGCTGACATTTTGGAAAAACGCAGCACAGTAGTTGATTCCTCTATAGAGGCAGAGTATTATCCCACTGCATAGAAGCTTTTTAAATGGCAATAATGACAGTGTGCCCAGCTCGGCCTTCTGCAGTGCAATTATTAGTTTAGAATCAGACTCGGTGACTCGTGAGGGAGCCACGCTCTGTGATAAATACTTTACAACACGCCATCAAAAATTTACAGCAAGGAGAAGATTTCCAACCACCAAGACGCTCCAAAAAGAGACCAAAGTGCAGATCCACAGAACATCTTCTTTAAACTCAAACAGTGAAATAGACCTCATTATTGCAGGGAAAAAACATTCATAGAACCTGTCTGGAGCTGCTCCAGCATTACAGATCACATGTAAGATAGGGTTTGTAGCATGTTTACTTAAAATGCTGGTTTTTGGCTTACCAACATAAAACTTTGAAGCAGCAAAATTCTTAAAATAACACTTAATGTTTAAAATGTAAAGCAGAAAATCCTCACAGACTGAAGGATTACTGACCACTCAGTCCATTATAGGCATGATAATGCCTGTAATGGGCCGGGTGATCATTATAAGGACCATTGCAACAGCCGACAGTTATTACACCACTGTGCTACTACTCTAGAAAAGTGTGATAAGGTCTACCAGGTGGCCAGTAACCTGTCTAGTGTTAGATTAAGGATTTTATTGGGTTTTGTTTTAGCAACATGCTAAATAGGCACATTTTCAGAAACTAGAAGATGTTGCATTTTCAATGAAGTTTCGGACTTTTAAAAAGGGGTGGTTGTTAAAGAAACCCTACCTCCAACCCTAACACATACTGGGTCGCCAATGTTAGGGAAGGTAGCACCAGCAGGTAGGCTGCTTCAGTCATTCACATTCAGTTCAGATGCCCCTGTGGAACAGCAAGTGATTAGCTCACTCAGCATTGCTTTGTAGCTGATATGTGGTTGCTAGGGGACAATCCAGACATAAGCAGCCTAGGTAACCCCCTAATCTATATACCAACCTTTCATATGTCAATCAGGACTATCCTTTACTCTTGTTGGTAGTTGCTTCAATTACTTGACTTCAAGCTATGAAAACATTAATTCTGGAGCCGCCCACTTTGCGCTGACAGCAGTTATTTCATTCCCTGAAGTTGCTAAAGCCTCTTTTCCATTAGTACCTACTCGACTCGGATCGACTGGTTTTCCATTACAACCCAGGAGTACCTTGTTTGCATGCTTGTCTGTGCGTCCCACGACACAATAAATGTGCAAGATGAACGCTACAACAAAGGTGGATATCGAAGCGAATATATACCTGCTGCTCAGTCTGTTGCTTTTCGTCAGACTCAGGGAACACAGCGTTGTTTTTTGTAGCCATTTCCCTTGTCGAGTTTCAAATTTGGCAGTTTTGATTTTCGTGAACGAGACGCTCTCAAGACTCATCGAGTGACACTACTGACCAGCCAATCAGTGGCATGCAGTCTGACGACATCAGAATTTAGTACCTATTTGGATTGCTTGGAACCCTAGCCGAGCAGGTACTAAAAAAACGACCTCGTCCCAGGTACCGTGACCTAATGGAAAACCCTGAAAACCGTGGCCAGTTGATCTGAGTAGGTTCTAATTGAAAAGGGGCTTAAATGTCGCTGACTTGTATGGTGTGTGGTCACCACGTCACTGCATCAAGTCATCCTGTGTGAGCGCCCCTTTAACCCTTTCTCCACAAGTAAAGTCATTTTCTTATTAGCCATTACTGTGTAGCTTATATTTGGTAATAAAGTGGCTGTTGGTGACCCTGTTGTACTGGTAGTTGCTTCAAGCTTGCAACCTCAAAGCTGAGATTCGTCTAACTCGTGAGCCTTCATTGGAATTCCTCGGTCCCTGGTCACCGCATGGCTGTGTGCTCTGCGGCAAGACACAGGGTGGTGTGTTAGCTCATTGTTCTTGGTTTTTGTGCTGTTGCATTTTTATCTTCATAGTGACCACTCACTTCTTTTTATATTTATTGTGTCATGTGTTTCTTTTCTGTTCTTGTGTGCTTTCATAAAGTTCCTTGTCCAGAGTGGGAATGCTTATTCTCTTTTATTGGAAATACGTTAAAAAGTTAAACATTAAAATACCAGTATACAGCAAAATAATAACATCTCAGTTAAACTCGCCTTGTTAATAAAATCCAAAACTCTGAACCTACGAAATACAATAAATATGTGTTTATTTTCCTAATGTTTGCTGGACTTTGTCAGTCCAACAGTTTCTGCTGCAGTAAACAAATTGTAATATTGTTAGAGACTTAAAGTTGTGTTGAGACAGGAAGTGTTCTCCTTTATTTTGGCAGGAATTTCCTGTTGTTATCTAGCAAGGAAACAGGTGCTTGTATTGCTAAAATCCTCTTCCCCTAACATTCACAAAGATATCCAGAAAAATACCAAACAAACATTGTGTGATTCTGTCTGTCACTCAAAGTCCAAATCAAACTTAAGCTGCAGATTTTGTCCAGAAGTGTTTGATCAACTCAGTTTGCTTCTCTGTCTTTGATGTAATGTGGCGACAGATCAGCATTCCAGCAGAACACCAAAACGCCGTCTGATTGGCCCCCAGCTGCCGCTATCTCATCCTCTGGTCTTCTCTCAGAGCGAGAGAGGCTGCTGGAGCATGACATCTGCATCCCCCCCCCCCCCCCCCAATATCCTGTCGTTCCACACATTCCTGCACATCCAGCTGAGGTCCAAAGTGGAGCTTTAAACTCACCTACGCTCTGTTGAGCCTGCAAGTCAAAGGCTGCATCCGAGTGTGTGCTGGCACTTCTGTCTTTGTGAGGACACTCGGAATAGAAAGTTTTCGTTCCTCATTTGGTGATACAATCTGAAACAGTTTCCATGCATTTCTATCAAAAAGAGATCAGTGTTGTAGGCACAAACCTGGAACCAGCACGGCAACATCCAACTGTTGGGCCTAAAGTTAATATCAGTGCTGTTGGGCCTTCTAGCTTCTGTAAAGGGCAGGATTCAGACTTAGTTCAAACTTAGTTCTTAACTTGCACTGCTTGAAGATTAGCACTCCAGGTGTAACCCCCCCCCAATGTGGCGACCACATGCCACACTGCTGAGAGCAGCCCGGGTTCGAGTCCAACCCGTGGCCTTGTACCACATGTCTTCCCCTGCTTTCCTGACCCTTCTTCACTGTATCTATCAAAATAAAGCTGAATAAACACTTTGCAACTCATTTTATGAAAATTTCTCCATAGATGGATATAAGCCTCTAGAATACACTGTCTTCACAAGTGTACTCATAAAGTCAGCACACATTAGTGGAAATGCACTTATTTGCATGAGATTCATTTGGATTTGCAAATCTGCTCTGACGTGCTGCAGGTCCTCTCCGCCGTAGGAACACAGCGAGTCTCCGCAGTCTTTAGTTTTCCCACAATCACCAGTCATCTGGGCAGAATTGACAGAGACAGAGAGGTTGCAGGGGCTGATGGGAGGGGCCGGGCTCCTGTCCAAACCAGTTAAATTCAAACAAACAGGAGTCACTTTAGCATCATGCATTTTTCTTTCCTAGTTTTTATTCTCTCTGTCCTCAGTTGTCCTATTTTTGGTTAGAAGAAAGTCAGATAATTACTGTTTATTTAGACCCAACTACATCATGAACGTGGTAAAAGACCAGAGACATTTTTGACCAGACTGGGGAATTTTGTAAGAAAATGTTGGGACACTTTGGACATCAGACATTCTTGTGTACTGGATCTCATATTGGATCCTGTGTGTATCAGTGTTGAGCTGCTGCATTCCTCATGTCATAAATATGCTACTGAAGCAACACAGGGTTCTTACTTCTACATCCAACACGAAGTTCATAAAAATTGCACAAAGCTGAGATTTGCAGTGGGTTAGAGAGGCCAGCTGTGGAAAAAACTGAAACCTCTAGATGTGCATTTATTTATTAATTGTATCTTTGTAAAGGGTGACTTCTGTCTGGCGTCTGGTCACTTTGCACCTTAAACAGACTTTTTGTGAACACACTGTATGTATGTTCATGTTGTGTGTATTATTGTAGGGTCTACCTTACAATATAAAGCGCCTTAAGGCAACTGTTGTTGTGATTTGGCACTATATAAATAAAATTGAATTGAATTGAATTGAAATGAAATGAAATGAAATGAAATTAAACACTGATTCCAAACCAGAATTCTTCAGAATCAGGAATTGATTCTGAATCGACCTCCATCACTCAAAGGTGAATAATTTATTTAGAACCCACATCTGAAATCTTCTCCCTCTCCTTTCTCTGCAGGCCCTGTTGAAGATGGACTGTCAGGGTCTTGTAGCCCGACTGGTGATGGACTTTGTCCTGCTCACCACTGCCGTGGAGGTAGCCGGCCGCTGGAGGGAGATGGCCGAGAGGCTCGTCAAGATTTCGCGCCAACAAATGGATGCTTACGAGGCACCACACCGTGACAAGAACGGAGTGGTGGACAGCGAGGTATGCGTGTCCTAACATCCCAAAAAAAGATTTCACACAACAACAACTTCAGTTGCAACTGGCAAAAACAACAAATCCATTCTGTACAAGCCTGATCAGCTTTATTATGTTTTAGGACTGAACATTCAGTTATTTGCTTGTCTGTTTGAATCTGTAACATTAAGACATTCATGTTTCTCAGAGGATGAAATCAGCTGACCTAAGCAGTAGGGGTACAACGATATTCGTATCGATATTGAACCGTTCGATACAGTGCTTTCGGTTCGGTACGCATATGTATCGAACAATACAACATTTGTAATTTAT